GAACGCACAAACATGACAAAAATTTCGGAAAGACTAATACACTTACAGACAAAATGGACAAACAACCCCCACAACTGGACGATACTGAATCCCCTTTGCCTCACAAGACAAAACACTCCCGTTTTCGTACCCCAACAAATAGTTTACTAGAACACCTACAAACGCAACTGAACTAACGACTAAGACCTGTTTGCTTTGTAAGCCAAGAATTTTTAAGTTTTTTTTTATCACTGATTAGTTTATACAAGTTAGGAATACGAATTAATTTTAGAGTAAGCTAGGCTAAGACACATGAACTACACAAGGGCAGAAAGACCTATTGGGTCGATAGCCTTTTTCTATAGGAAATAAAGATTATTTATATATATAGATATTTAATATCGGCATATTTAATATACATGATTTGTAATTGATAAAATGGGTATCGCTACGGACGTTTTCGAGTATATTCACAGACATTCCGCAGTAATTTTGCAAACAGCTTCGAAACAATTGGGAGCATGCTAAATCAGTTGGTCTTCCAGGTTTATGAACCATGATTATTTAAGCAAACTTTCACTGATCAGGATAATAGACTTTTACAGTTCTCAGAATACAATTAAACAAAGTCTTCGTGAGAATTTGAGCCTTTGTTCCAAAGGGTTTTGGGATTTCAGTTGTAAGTAGATCGCATTCTAAAGCTTTGGCGCGTCGGAATTTTTTTTCTGTATTCATGCAGCTCAGCAAAAGTGTTTGATAGATTTGGAAATTGGAAGAGGAACAATTGAAATGCTTATTTTTTATGGAAGATTATTTTCCACGTCTCCGAATAGTTCAAATATTCTTGCTAAAAAATGTCGAGGAATGCATTAGTTTTTATCTAAGTCTGAGTCTGCTTTTTGGCGTTGTGAGTTTAAAAGCTTTAGAAGGTTTCTGTAGCTGCTCACGATCAGTAATAAAAAATATGTATATACAAATAAAAATTAGGGCAATCTAAATAGCGGATTATTCTGCTAGAACTTCAAATTACTCAAGGAGAAGTGGATATGGTACATATACGCACCAATGTATAACAAATGCGATGCGGAAGTAGAGTATTTTTATTCATCGTTAAAAGGGGGCGAGGAACTTCACGGAAAGAAAGAAACTCGTTCGTACAAGTTGGATTATAAAAATAAAATATAATTTTTCCTTGCAGCACAATACCTGAATAAATAGCGAAATATTGCGTTATATGCATAAGTGTAAACTTCCTAAGAGTGATTCAAATCAAGAAATGTATTATCATTTAAGCAAAAAACTACGATCCGACATTTTTTCTAATTTTTTTCGATTTTCATTTTCTTTTTGTTCGGTTTTCCGGAAAATGTATACCCTGAGTTTGCACCATCCTAAACATACAATAAAAAGGTAAATTGAAGTGTTCTCTGAACATGTCTGTCGGGAAATGCAGTTATTGGATATGCAACGAGGAAATTGAAGCGGGACATCGAAACAGAAGTACCTACCATATTAAAATGTGGGAAAACTTCCGACGAGACTGTCAAATTTCCTCAGCACGTTGCACCGTTAATAAATAATGTTATTCGACTTAGTTCGAAAGAAATGATAGCGCGGAATAATCCAAAACTGACGCAACTGCTTAAAACAGCCAACAAAACGAAGCTTTCGCTATATTTTGTTCAATTTTATTGGAAAGCATTAGTTCAAGAAATGGCAGGATATGACTGATATAAAACAAAAATTTTTGGTTCAAGTAAAGTTTGTTTCTAAAATGTTTGACGAGAATTAAACTCGAATGCAGCTTGGTGCTCACGAATCCGTTGTCTATTACAACAAAGACACTGGTTCTGAACAACCAAAAATATAGATACTCTTTAAACTTTCGACACCGTTTTTTACGAGAAGAAAAAGTTGATATTTTTGTACAGTTTTTTGTATATTTTTGTAACAGTAATATTTTAGTTCCAAAAAAGTTTTCAACCGTTGTTTTTCGTACTGCACCCGTTTAGTGGGTTTTTAATATAATAATTATAGTACTCGGATTATTTTTTTTTATTAATAGAATTTTTATTGAACAATTTTGCTATTCATACAATGGCTTGGAAAAACCAAAGGCTTGTTTATCATTAATTATGGTGCAGTGACTGTTTCCACATCATAATTGAGTTAAAATTAAACAGTGATTCACAATTGGCCATTTCTCCGAAGGTGTGTGGTCACATGTAGGGAGTACAGAAAAAAGGTGAAAAAGATCATTTTTACAAGAAACTGAGATATAATTGGAAACAAATTAAATTGCACACTTTGTAGCATTGTTTTTGATAGCACTTGCAAATGCCGTTCTGCTCAGGCCAAAAAAGATACTTTCACTGATGGAACTGTAAAATTCCCAATTTGGTCAGTTGAGAAAAAAATGAAGAATTGCATTATTCAATTGAGTTTTCAAAGCGATGGTATAAATACCAGCATATGCGGAACAGCTTCTAAAGCAACGCATTCCATTCTTTCATCTACTTTGGGCAAAACTCAACATAAAGTGCTTCCGTGGAGGGTGCAAATGTTAAAGACAATCCAGGAATTTGCGAATCAACCTTCAACCAGTGCCTATTTCTGGACGATTAACTTTGCTTAAACCTTGCTTAAAAACATTTTTACTATCAAATTTTTTGCCTATTTACACTACCTGGTACCGCTACGGTAAATAATCTTTACTGTTGGCCTCCGAGAGTATTTACTTACAGCATCTGCGCAAATTCAAAACAACACTAATGGATTTACAAAACGATGTCATAACTATGTGTGCCTTAAGCTAAAAGTATCATTTGTTAAGTCCGGCAATTACTTACCTATGACTATGGTAGGAAACATGTGCGCCTACCGGTTCCTGAAATTCCATCCTGCTGAATGAACACTGCTGAAAGCAACGTTCAGTTGCATGTCTGGCACTGAAACCGAAACGCAACCGGCATCTGGAAACTTTCGACATCTGGAAAATCGCGCGCGATTTTTCACGTTTAACACGAAATTTTCATGGTGAATTCTCGATTTTTTATATTGTTCTCTAGAATTAACAGTGCTGTTGTTTTCAAGTACATAGTTCGAAAAATTTAAAGTGACCAATTTTTTGCGGGTAGGACTTAATAGTATGGTTGGATTTCTGCAATAAGAGGAGGTAAATGCAATGATTTTTAAAGAATGAAAAAAAATGCTAGCTGTAGATATCATCTATACGGAAGATGTATGTTGCACAAAAGGAAGTGAAAAGGACAGTGTATTTTACATGAAAATGATTTGTGTAATTCAGTCCTTCAAATTATTTTACATTTTTTGAAGGAACAGTGTTCTTATGTAGGAAAACACTCGACACCTTTTTCTCACCCTTTTCCCAGGCTAACAAAGTGTGCTGAAAAACTACTGTTTTTGAGACTTCTTTGCATCAACCGAAATACTGTTAATTGAACATGTTAGTTTATTTGGAGGAAATCGTTTATTAAAACAAATCAAGAAATACTTTATTAATAGACACAAAAAAGTGAAGCGCTTTAAAAGCAATTCCATTATACCTTAGAAACAAAACATGGAATCCTACACAAAAAAATCAACGCTCAGAAAACAAAAGAATTATAAAAGAACTGTAGGAAAAATTCTGCGACCTACATGCAATGTCTGTGAAGCTCGGCAGGAAATCATCAAAATGTCGTTAGTTATTACGTAGGCTGCAATTTTTATTATTCAATCATCAGCTTATTTTCAACTAGCACTAAATTTCAGTGATGACAATGAATCGTTTATGTAGTTCAGTTGTGAACAGCAAATAAATCAATGGCAAAAACTAGGTAGGCCCTAATTGCAGGCGTAAAAAAGGGATTCGACATCAATCTGTCGCCGAAAAATTAGCGCTCAAAGTAGCATGAAATATAATAAGTTGCATAAGTCGAAGCGCGATATTTTTAATACCAGCGAATCTGCTGGAAAAACTCCGTGGTGGGTTTCAATCGAAAAATGTTCGTATCAAATTTACATTTACAATACATACGTTACCCCCAAGCGTATTATTTACTGTTGACAAGACGCAACCACAATCTGCACTAATTGATCACCCTCATACAAATGTATAAATATGGTATACTATTTTAAAATTTCCAAAAAGAACAGCTTACTTGAAAAAATATGATATTATTTAACATTACCAGCAAAATGCTGGTTATATAAAAGATTCAACACATTTTGTCTTCGAGTACTGTTATCAAGTAATAACAGCAAATTAAATTCTCTAAAAGTTGCACAGTGTAAAAACAATTACAAATCTGCCAATTTCCACTCAGCCGAGTTAATATTTGAATACAAATGTTATGCTTACCATTTATTGCAAGGAGAACTCCATGGGATGTTGAGTCTGCAAAAAAAACATGTTAGTTAGCAAATCATAGGGATATTTAATTTGTTAGAGATTTTCTTTAGAGGGTAAAGCATAATTGTTTTGAAACTTTTCAAACAGTTCAAATTTAATTAATTTATTTATTCAATACAAAATTAACTTGCTTATATTTCTCGCAAATTCCAAAACAATTTACCAGTTTACAGCATAAACAGGTCTCAACCAATCAATGAAATTATAGGGTATTTTTCCTTGCTAATATTTGAAATTTAACTACAGTTCATCAAATTTTAATAATAAAAAAATGCCTTGTATTTGTATATTAATTAAGTGACAACCTTCTGTAAGTTGATGTTTAATTAAATAGCTGGAAAAGGTCACATGCAGACTTAAATTACCAGAGCTTCCTGCTTTTTTGATTATTCAGTTTAATTAGGCTTTTAATTTTTCTTCCGTAGTATTCCGCTAGTTACGAGGTTTCGAGGAGTCTTAGTTATAACTTTTCGTAAAAATGCATCATTAAAGTTAAAGTTTGCTTAAATTTTACTTAATTGCATTCGAGGAAACTTACATAATTTGTTGTTGAAAAAGTCTAATTGCAAAAGGGAATTTGCAGAATTGTAAAACCTAGGTTTAATTGGAGACCTTTGCAAGTTCTATGCATCTGCCAGATTTAATGTGACTGATTTTATTAAAATTATTAAAAGTGTGATTAACGCTGATGGCAAACACAACATGACACAAATCATATTCTGAAATACAGATAAAGTAGCGGTATTAACTTGAAATCACAATCAATTTAATGAAACAATAAGCCAAAAATGACTTCTATTCAAATTCATCTTTGTATTCTTCTAGTCAAATGTATGCTCGTCAGTTGGTTCAAAGGCAACTACATGGCATTCCACTTAGCAAAATATGTGAATGAAGTCAAAATATACCTTCTTTTCCTACTCATTTCGAAGTTTAAATTAAATTATCAAATAGATGCATTAATAAAGTGAATGTTCGTTCGCATGAGTTAACTGACCGCCTATTCCCATAAACTGATGAGCCAGCAGATCATATGCCCGTTTGGAGACAATAACTACCAAGGAGATGTGCGGAGGCCAGGCAGTCAACGAGTAATTTTATAAACTTTTGTAATCTAACGAAATAAAAATTGTTTTTAAAAAGGGCTCTCGCCGGTCTCATTAGTTAATTCATGAATAGTGCTTTTAGTGAGCTGCAGTGGGGATGTCATTTTTCAAGAGTTCAGTGTAGTTGAAAATTTAAGGTTGCTGACTAGATTCTATTCAGGAAATTGATCGTTTGAATGATGTGCTTATTAGATAAAACGTAAAGCTAATGTAGTTTCATGCTGAAGAAACGTGCATTATTGAATTACGTCCCCGATATGTGGCATTTAGGAAGGTTTGATAGATGCAACATATATTAATTCAATATCCAATTCCATGTTCAAAGTAATAGTTATGGAAACTAGAATTTTAATTGCATTCAGCAATTCAGTAGCCGATAATTTCCAAGTCCCAAATGCGCCAACACCTGATTAACTTTGCACTAAGCGCGAAAAATATCCATTTCTGACCTGATGAAAAAATATCACAATTTTATTACCTCTTGAGAATTGGGACTTTCATTTTAATAACGTTTCGGTTATTAGGAATATGGAGAAAATGGTTTTCTCACGAGATTAGTCGATATACAAACTGTTCTTGATCAAAAACGCTCCAGAGCTTTTCAAGTGTTTATATAATCGGTTGAATTCTTAATCTTGAATAATTGAAATTAAATACTAAAGTAGACATATAAAACAGAATATTTCACTAGGAAAATATTATATGTATGCGTATAAATTCAAATACCGTAACAAGTATTTATCATGGCGAAAATGTGCATGTGTCTGAAAACGACTTTTTCGAGACCTACAAATGGGTGTCATTTGTTACAATAAATTTTTCATTTTCCGTTTCGTGCACGATCTTGGACCCAGCAAACATGCGGCAAATATTTATTAGTATAGAGTAAAATGCTCTACGATAACGGTTTTTCAAGTAACTGGTGAAGTTTCCCGTATATATATAAAGTGGCACTAAATCGGAATTAATATTAATATATTACTGAATTAATTACAGGAATAGAAGTACATTACATATTCTGTACAATAATGAGTTTAAATAGTAGGTGTTTGCTGCACGTAGACATAAATATCTGTATGTACAGCTAATGTCGTCATACAAGTAGGTACTTAATTCTAAAGCTGAAGTATGGGAAACCAAAATCAGCAACATCCGCATCAAAAAATCAATAAACACAATTACAAATATACCAAAAAACAATTTAAATTCCGAAATATAAAATTTAAACATCTTTGCTTACAATTGTTTTTTAGGAATCATTCTAACATTAATAGGTAACATATTATGGAACTTAGGGGATAGGTAATTAAAAAATCTTAAGTTAATATTGGAGTTATTATTTGGTATAATAAGATGCTTATTGCATCTGATGTTATAGGGATGATTAACTGTTTCAATAGAGGATGGCTTTGTATAGACATACAGCATACAGAGTAGATGCATAAAGTTCTAACATTTGGAACATTCTCAGAATACAAAATAGCTGCAGAATACCGTTTATTACTTCCAAATATAACTTTAAGGATATAATTCTGAACCACTTTCAATTGTTTAAGATAATTATCATACAGGCCACCCCAGACAATAATTCCATATCTCATCAGGGAGTCCACCAACGCTCTGTAAACCATTAGCAGGATTTTTCTGCTTAGAACATGTCTTAAAGTGTAAAATCTAGGAATAAGTCTTGTATGTTGTTAGCAAGTCGTGTTACATGTTTGTCCCACTTGAGATGTCTATCAATTGTGATACCCAAATGCTTGGTGCACTCCTCCGCCCCAATACATCTATCCCCCAGTCGTAAAGTTGTAAAGTGTGGTCGATTTACAGAGGTAAGTTAGAAAGCTATATAATTTGTTTTATCAATGTTTAGTGTCAGCATGAAAGTTTATAGCCAACATATAATATTTTTAAGTCCCCCTTCTGCTAGTGTTCTAACATCCAACCACGACGATTCATTAAAGAGGATAGCTGCATCATCAGCTTAAGATATAATGGTACCGTTTTTATTTTTAGTTATGTTAGAGAGTTTATATAGGTGATGAATCGTAAAGGGCCAATAACTGTACCCTGTGGGATGCCAATCTGTATTTTAATTTAATCTTTTAATAAAATCTTTTTTTTCACCAATCTTAACCATTGGCTTTCTCTCTCAGGTAGCTCGAAAATATATTAAATGCAACCCCACACACCCCATAGCAATTTAGAACATTCAAAAGTGTTGAATGAGGTACGGTACCGAATGCGTTAGCAAAGTCTAAGGAAACAGCCAAACAGTTGGTTCTGCTATTCAAAAATTGAGAAATTATTAATTACGCTGATGGGGCGTTTTTAAACTGGAGTAATTATGGCGGTTTTAAAATAAGAAGGCACTGAGCCTGTTGTAAAAGATATGCTTATATAGTGGTTCAGTAAAGTATAAATTAAATTTCTTCACTAATATCGAGTTGATTTGCTCAGGGCCTGCAGCATAAATGTTCTTGAGGGAGCTGATGAGGTGTATAATTTAATTATCGCCTACCGGAGTCAAAACATAGATGACGTAGAACTGTATTGGAGTTTGAATCTATTTATTGGTTTATTTATTTTATTAAGCATTTTAATAGCTATGTTACCAAAATGTTTGTCACAATAATTGGCTAGATTTTTACTGTTAGAAAATGGTTCAAGCTTATCATTTTTTATTTGTAGGTCTTTTTTTTTGGTTTATTTTGATCAGTAGCCTCAGAAATTATTTTATATACTTTCTTTATGTCTTTAGAATCTAGAGTTATTTTGTTTTTGAAGTAGTCATGTTTAGTCTTTTTATTAATTTATTTAGTTTTATTTCCTATAATTTTTATATAGTGTTCCATTATGTGCACCATGCTTAAATAAAAGTTTATTTTTCGTAGAGTATCTTTTTTATATCGAATTTATTATATCGGTCGTGATCCATGATTTAAGATCTATTTTTTCTTCATAAGTGATAGTTTTTCTGTTCGTTAAAATATCAGAAAATTTAGAAGCAGCAATTTTTGCATCCATCAGTTACGCTATGCCAATCAGTATTCTTAATTAGATTTTCAAAACTTTGTAAATTAAGCTTTTCAACCGTTTTAGTTACAATTTTGGATTTAGAAGTAGTTCTATAGCTTTGGTTGCTTATATTAAGTACTATAGGAAAATGGTCTGTTATGTCTGCTTCCATAATAAATGTTTCAATTTTGTATTTATTTTTTCTGTTGGTTTTAATAAATATATGATCTATACATGAAACAGAATCTATAGTTATACGTGTATAACCATTTATCAGTGATTCAAAGCCATATGCACTCGACAAGGATCTATATTAATATAACCAAGGAAAATTTTAATATTATTTGTAGGATTATTCTGCAAATACTCTTCAAAGTCATTCAGAAAAAGTTATATGGATGAGGAGGGCGGCCTGTACATACAAGTGATGTCATGAGTGATATTGTTCAATTTAATAAACAGTTTAGTGAGTGAAGTTCCCGATGATTGCAATATCAGATCATTTACTGTAGCTTTGATAGAGGTTTTAGTAAAGATTACAAGACCATCATTCTGATTACTTGCCACGATTGTAATACATATTGTAGTAAGGAACAGAAAATATACTATCATCAGGAACTCCCCAGCACTCGCTCAGTACTATGACATCAGAAGAGAGATTATAGGCCTAAAGAAATACAATAAGATTGACAAAATAATTTTGTATGCTTCGAATATTCAGGTGTAATACATTTAGTAATTGAGAAGCAGTATTAAGAAGGTTACAAACTCTGTTGCAATCTGTCCTAGTCTAAATTCTACCTTCACTTAAGACAAGTTCATTCAATATAGCAATTTCGTCTTGAATCTTAGCCATTAATACCACAGTAATCGATTTTTCTTCTTTGATTTTTCAGATAGTATTCATAGACTGGACAATTTGCGTCACTTGCATCGTGTTTAGTTTCGCACCTACTCCCATACTTCTTATTAGCCTCTTCACAATTTATACAATGTTTTTCCTTCCTGTCACATTCACGGTATTCATGTTCACCTCCGCAATACCCACAACAAGGATCACACAATGGAAACAATATGTTACTTACATTTAGTTTAACTCTGCTCACACAATTGAGACGGATAAATTCCGAAAATCATATAGGTGAATGTTGGTAATTGCTGACTATATTAAATCATTTTCAACAAAAGATAATCAGTTTTAAGCAGTTCATAAATGATAACAGCTAAAAGTAATAAATAACATTTATCCCCATCTACCCTTCTCAAATGCTACCCTTTCTGTGCATTGTATAATGAAAATGACTTGAAAATTTTTACTTGATTTAATGCTGAAAATTAAATGATAGACAATTTAAAATTTAGAATGGGTATGTAAATGTAATTAAAATCTCTAGCGTGACAAATTGATAATTTTATCAACACTGTGCTGCGCTTTATCAGAACATTTGTCTAAAATTACCACTTAGCTTCTTAAGTTGAAAAGGCAGCCCCTTAAACTTTTTGCGAAAGATTCTTATAGATTACTCATCTTTATGAGTGGAAATTGCCTTCGCCCACGAGATGATGTTAGCTACAATCTTAATCTAGAGTGTTTTCTGATATTTTTCTCTTCTTAACCGCATATCTGATAAAATTATGTTTGATTCATATGTACCTAAATGATAAGAAATTTTAATTCTCATCCGCTCGTACAAGCTTATATTATAGTTATTTCGGTACAGAAAAATTGATTCAGCTTCGTCATTTGTTAATTTCGTAGAAATAAATAAACGTAAAGTTGTAAATAGATCGTGCATTGATTGCGATTGTTGGGTAACTCAATTTACTTATTACCAATCACAAACAGGCCTTTCCTCTCAACATGTTCGGGCTCTACATTGTGGAAATATGTATGGCAGTCAGTTAAAAATCAACAATTGAATCTTTGAATGTCTATGAATTTAGAACTTGAGAGAGAGAGTTGTATATCGAATGGTCTGATGATACAAGAATATATTATTCCCATTTCACAGAATAGCACACACTATAGTGACATATCTTCACTAGTATGTTTCACCTTCAAAAATATAATAACATTTGCACGACCAGAAGTACAAGGTGTTAAAGTAACAGTAATTTCGAACTACATGTTTAATTTTTAAGTTTATCCATATTTCGCAAACGATTTTAGATCAACACTTTTGCACACATTGTACCAATGATTGGAGCTACTTTATGAGTGGTCAGTGAACATTTTTCTAAGTGTGTAGCACATTTTAATTAAGGGGGTTATTTTGTTGTTTGATTTTGAAAGGTCAATGTTTTCTTGCTCAAAAACTAAGAGCATATCGTGATAAAAAGGCGAGTGAAAAATCTAAAATAACAATTTTAAGTGCTTATTTGTCTAGCTTCACTAATCAACAAGAGTAAGTTTTAAAAAATGAATCCCTTGAAGAGGGCTTCAATGCTTTTTATGACCTGGCCTAAACCCAATTTTGAGTAACTTTTTCGGTATTGATTATTTCACTGTTTCTCTTGGAGACTAACAAAAGTTTTAGAAATAACTAATCAACAATTGCTACTTTTTACTACTTTTTTGTCATCATGTCATACATTGTTTCATAAAACAACTTACATTAAAGCGGTTGCCTAAGAGTGGTTTTTTTGTAGCGTAGAAAGTTGTGAGTGTATTTTTGTCAGTTGAGTTAAAAATTAGAAACTAAAGTAAATCATCAAAACAAAATTTAGTTAAAACAACTACCCTTCGTTTTTGTTATCTCGAAAAAAACCGAATATTAATTAATAATAATAATTAATATATAATTTATTTGAGTATGAGTTATTCAAAATTGGTAAGTTTGTGGTCTCGTAAGCCGCCGTGAAATTTTTTACTGAAACACGGTGCGTTGTAAAAAAATCAAGAGATCTTCCAAATTGAACATGAAATTGCAAAATAATATTTATTTTTAGAAAAACTAGTGGCGTGACATTTTTTTATTTAAAATTATCAACAGACGTGCCTGTGCCCACGCCACTGGCGAAGCTAAAAACTAAATTTTTATCATAAAACGTTTATTGGTGTTAAGTGCCTAAGTCTATAAAATGTCATCAACACATCCAAGGGGTTTCCGCAATACTAAAAAATATAATTTGTTTCATTAATACATTAACACATTTAATACAGTTTTCGGAATATGGTGTATTAAACAAATATATCCAAAATTACGTGCACTATCACCTCCTAGAAGGAATGCATCTACTTACCAAACACCCTGTATATACACGTAAGTTTATCGATAAAAACAGTGCACAACTTTGCCCTGAATTACCCGACATTTGTGCATTTCTCACATTTTCTCGACATTCACAACAACCATTGGACAATAATAAAATTGGAAGAGTGTGTGCAATGCAAAGTACATTATCAGGATTTAATTATTTTATCCTTGAGTTAACTTTTAGTAAATATTACTCACATTTTTAATACCAGATCTGCACCTGAAGTAGGCATCGTTTGAAATAATGGAAGCGTTTGATTTTGTTGTAGAATGTTGGAAGAATAAAATCAAAATTCTGAATAGTAATTTTCATTAAATGTATAAACTACGACTGATGTATTTAGTTTTCACAATAAATTATTCATATAAACCATAAAACAAAATATAAGCAAAGAAAAGTTGAATAACCAGACACAACAATAACATATTTTGAGTGTCAAGAATACATCGGATCTCTTGAGCAAGCGAATGAACACCAAGTATAAACGTTACCTTTATACACACAGATTCATTAAAAATAAAAGAGTGAAGGCTCTACACTGTTGCAATTTTCTTGATAATATTTAAGTTGGAAACTTCAAAACTAGGAAAGCTGTGGTTTTAAATTTCTTTTTATTGTCACTATGGTTTGATGTTTGCAATTTTTGTTCTATATGTTTGCTATAGTTCTTGTACCGTATATTAGGGGCTAGACCACAAATAACATCGTCGCCCTTTATGAGTGCACCTTCCGACCGATCTAAAAAAGTGAGCAATTTTACTTTTGTTAATTGAAACATGTTTTTGCCTGTTCAGTGGCCGATTTTTAAAACTCAAGAATAGATTGATTATTCAACTTAGATTATTGTCTTAATTAATTAGCGTAGAAAGTTGTGAGTGTATTTTTGTCAGTTGAGTTAAAAATTAGAAACTAAAGTAAATCATCAAAACAAAATTTAGTTAAAACAACTACCCTTCGTTTTTGTTATCTCGAAAAAAACCGAATATTAATTAATAATAATAATTAATATATAATTTATTTGAGTATGAGTTATTCAAAATTGGTAAGTTTGTGGTCTCGTAAGCCGTCGTGAAAAATAATTTGTTTCTGATGTTTCACAAGCATGGGTGGTATGCACCTCCAGGGGAGGTTGCTGCACCGAACAATCTCTATCGGGGGTCCAACTCTAAGTTTTTTTTATTTTATTATAATTGAAACAAATGAAAGTTGGGTACAAATTTGCTATATAACTATATTAATCAATAATAAATTTGTTTAGTAGACTGCAGTCTTAAGAAAATATGTGAGAGTAAACACATCAAATYATAAATATAATGTCTTGTTAACCCAAAATTTAATCAAATTTCTTCAATGATATTTATTTTGTTTTGTTAGTTCAGTTGGTTTACTTGCATTTAGCGCAGTGTCAGTTGTATCATCACACTTAATTTCTACTTTTGCGATTACCTTGAAAGATTTCATTTAATTTTAATTATATTCTTCTCATTATTGAAAATATATTTTTATTAAGAAATTGTTTAAATTTTTGTGCTATACAATTGCCTTCTGAAAATAACTAAATCTAAATATAATCCTAAATTTTTCAAGATACAATCAAGTATTAAAAATTATTAGACAAAAAACTCTCCCGTAAAAACCTAATAGGACTGTATATTTAATTAGCTTTGAAAACGAACATTTGCAAATGTGTGACAGTTTTACGATCGCATTTCGAGCCATTTTTCCTGCCTTTTATGGATTTCAATATAATATTTGAATTGAAAGGCAGTGATTTACTTTAGCTCTACGTGACAAGCACAAACATATTTCTTTGCACGACAACATAAAATATAGCCGAAAACGGTTTTAACATAGATAAAATAGAATTTGAAGCATCTGCTTACGATAAATCTGAAACTATAAGAGCCCTTAAATTGAAAAATGGCGCCATGATCCGGATTTGGAAATTTTTACTTACGCTACAAGCGTATTAATTTGTAATACTGTGCAGGAATAGTGTAAAATCGAACTAACGATAATTTACAGGAAGACTGTATATTTATATAGAGCCATGAATCATTTGAACAGCAATTTTCGTAATATAAATTAGGCAACATTACTTTACTTCATAAAACAATAACGTACATTTCAAAGCTGGTGCGTAAAATAAATGATCTAATAGTATTCGCAATTATCTAACAATATCACATCCAAAATGTCCTGAAACAAAAATATCAATTAAAGGGAATTCTCAGCTAAACAAAAGTATTGCACATAAATCTTTGGATAATCTTAAGGAATGTAACTCTCTCAGCGCTTCTCGCGTTCAAAAACAACGATCGTGGAACATAAATAATCATTATACAGGGTTATCCGTTTTATGCTTGGCAAAGTAAAGTAAAAAAAAAAACACACAAAATATTCAGATGGAGACGAAAATTTTAATTTAAGATAAAGATTAAACCTTACCATTATACGTGAAAAACAATATCATTTAAAGTCCTCCACGGGTCCTCCTACAACCCTTTGAGGTAATTTTGAATGACTTTTTGGCACATTACCGGTAATATCTCGATCATAACTGCACGGATATTGGCTTCAGTTGCTCAAGAGTTTGAGGATTGTTGGCGTAAACACGATCTTTCGCATAGCCCCGCAAAAAGAAATCTAACGGTGTTAAGTCGCAGGATCTTGCGGGCCAATTGACATCACTCAATCTCGAAATTACGCGTCCTGGAAATTTCTCTTGCATAGGGCTGTAACTGTCAGTGTTGTTTGACTCGTTGCCCCATCTTGCTGGAACCGCATGTCTTCCAGATCATAATCTTTAATTCCTCTCCAAAAATAATCGGTCAACATGCGTCCATAGCGCTCAGAATTGACTGTTATGGCTCTTCCTTGATTGTTTTCAAAAAAATACGCGCCAATAACACCACTGGATCATAATGCACACCATACGGTCACTTTTTCAGGATGCAAAGGCATTTCTGCAATCACCTGAAGATTTTGAGAGCCCTATATACGGCTGTTCTGTTTATTCACTTAACCACCGAGCCAAAAATGAGCCTCATCGCTGAAGAAAATTCGGTTCAAAAAATCATCCTTAACGGCTTTTCCAATCACCCAATTTGCGTATATTATGCGCTGCCCATCTTCTTGAGGCTTAAGTTCTTGAGTCAGTTGGACTTTGTACGGATGGAGCTTCAAATCCAATTGCAAAATTCGCCACAATGAACAGTAAGACAAGCCCAAATGTTGAACATGTCGGGGAATCGACGAATTCGGGGTTTCCTCCACACTTTGAGCAACAACAGCGATATTTTCAGCTGAACGAATGTTGCGATGATGCACAGGCCTGACAATATCAGGACCCGATCCAGTCTCTTCAAAATTTTCCACTGTGTTCGAAACTGTTTGCTCAGTGGGTCGATTGTGTCGACCGTAATCCGCTCGTAAAGCCCTAAACGTTGATACAGCAGAATCACCATTTTTATAGAAACATTTAATAATTTTTACGCGTTCTTCGATAGGTAAACGATCCATATTCCAAACCAGCAAACCTTAAACTAAAACAAAAACGCTTCGGGTATCAAATAGCAAGGTTTTACTTTTCCATCCTCGAATTGGATAACCCGTTACTCTAAAGAATTTTTACAAAAGAAGTTCTATTCATTGCCCATTAGGTCAGATATCAGATCTGAACCTGCCAATATCGGTTATTTACCTTAAGAACACCTGAAGTCAACATTCTATCTGTTGTCTTCGTGGTTTTCTCTGCTTTATTAATAGCCTGGATGAGCTGGTTTGAGGATTTTTCTAAAAGGCTTTATCCTCACAACTAATAATTTATCTATGTTTGGGTATACATTTTATAACAAACGCAATCCATCACAGCATAAAAAAATGTGAATTCGGTGCAAAAATCTCTGATTTTAAATTGGAAACTTGTGCCTTGGATAGAATACAAGTTAAAGTAATTTGACGAAATTAATGATCGTGGGCAATAAGAGCAAATATTGTTGTTTTGGCTGGTTAAGTGACGATAATTAATGTTGTTCGCAAGAAGTTGTGAAGACAACCTTGTTTGTTCTAGTCAGTGGGGCAACAGCTTATCAAAATACTTAAGAGGGCCTCGCACAAACTCCGTTCAGAAACACACTTTTCGTAAATGGACAAATTTCGGAAGCGTAGATTAGTATGTTAGACTAGTAGGTACTCAGTGGCGTAACTAGAATGAGAATTTTTTAAGCAACTTTCAACGCGAGCCTTCTCRCAATATTTAATGCTATTATAAAATAAATTACTTAAGTATAAATGTAGGATATACAGGGTGTTTGGTAAGTAGATGTATTTATTGCAGGGGGTGAKAATGCAAGTAATTTTGGATATATTTCGTTWATATACCGTRTTCCGAAAACGCTTAGTTTCCGATCTACAGAGTGATAAAGTTTTAATAAGAATTTTTTTTATTAATATATACTTTTTAATATTGCGGAAACTATTTGGAATATTTAATCGAAATTTTACCGGCCTAGATTCATAACAACAACACATGTTTTGTGATGAAAATTTTGTTTCTAGCTTTTCCAGCCGCATGGGCAAGGGACTGTTAATAATTTTAAATAAAAAAAAAAACTTTTACCACTGATTTTTTAAGCAGTAAACTTGATGATTCAAATTAGCTTTCAATTTGGAACTCTCTTGACTTTTTTGTTCTACGACGTCCCGGTTTCGAGTAAAATCGATTTATTGCATAGCTAAATCGGGTTGCAATTAAGTAGAGTTTAGTATAAAAACGAAAATTGTGCAGTTAGATTGTATCAATTTTATTACAAAAAAAAGCAAAAAGAAATTACTCTCAGACACTCAAAATAACAACAATTACAAATTTTTTTCAATCAGTAACCATGACTAGTGCATAGTCAACTTTTTAAATAAAAATCGGATTACGCTGAGCAATAAATCGTTTTTAATTTTTTACTAAAACACAGTGCGTTGTAAAAAAAAATCAAGAGATCTTTTCTCTTCCAAATTGAACATGAAATTGAAAAATAATATTTATTTTTTGAAAAACTAGTGGCGTAACATTATTTTTATTTAAAATTATCTACAGACGTGCCTGTGCCCACGCCACTGGCGAAGCTAAAAACTAAATTTTTATCATAACACATTTATTGCTGTTAACTACCTAAGTCTATAAAATGTCATCAACACATCCAAGGGGTTTCCGCAATACTAAATTATACTAATAAAACTAATACATTAACACATATAATACAGTTTTCGGAATATGGTGTATTAAACAAATATATCCAAAATTACGTGCACTATCACCTCCTGGAAGGAACGCTTCTACTTACCAAAC